CCTCTACTCTTTACACTATTTATTAACGACTTGTGTCATGCCTCTGAAATAGCCAAATTTGTTCTTTATGCGGATGACACCACTATTCTTTGTCTATAATAAATAGTGAACTTGAAAAAATAGTTAACTGGTTTACTTTAAATAAGCTTAGAATCAACTATTCAAAATGCAGTTATTTAATATTTAGTCCAAGGATTTAACAAATTCTTTGCCTGACTTAAATATTAATATTAACACTAACAATATTGCCCGATCTGATTCAATTAAGTTTCTTGGAGTCTTAGCTTTGGGACAACCATATTAATTTTATTTCTGACAAATTTAACAAATTAATAGGTATACTACACAAGATCAAACATAAACTAAATAGAAATATACTTCTGGAACTGTATAACACACTCATTTATCTCATCTCGTTTATTGTAACTTACTTTGGGGTAATTGTCCTGCTGTGCACTTGAATCAAGTCAAACGGTGTCAAAACCGTTTAATTCGTTTGTTACTTAATCTCCATCCTTTTTGCCCTGTTTCAAATTATTACTCTGTTTTGAAAATTTTAAATATAAACAACATCCATGTATACTTTGTCTCAATTTTCATGTTTAAATACCTACATGAATTACTTCTACTTTTTTATAAAGATTTTTTTACTCTAATAAATACTATTCATAGTAAGCCTCTAAGACACAATCCTACTTTTTATTCAAATCCAGCCCGAATAAAATTAATAAATATAAGTTTGAAACTAATAGGACCGAAGGTCTGGGAAACCGTGATTCCACTTGAGATTAAAGCTCTCAGTCACTTGCATTAGTTTAAATCTAAAGTTAAACGCTACCTGATTCAGAAAAATACTATTTCCTTGAATTAGGAAGTGTTTGTTATTGTCGATTATATAAAATTATGTTGTTTTTTTCTATGTACCTTATGTGTTTTTGTGCATGTATGTGTGTGAGTATTTGTGAATGATAGAATGCGCGTATTGTATGAATGGATGTATGTATAATTTCTTTTGACGTTAATATTCTATCTGATATTATTTTAATCTACTGGATTTAAATAATGTTATTAATTATATGTACTTATAGAATTTTTGTTATCTTTAGTGGTTATCTGTGTTTAATAGTTATATAGAGGTAATTATATTTTGATTATTTTACATTAAATATTATTAAAAACAATGGAGACAATCGTAATAACTTTAAAGAATATACTCCCCATGTACCTTTTATTTCGAACTAATTTAATCTTTCATTTATGTTGATTAATGTTGATTTTATTTGGATAGGGTGACTTTCCTACAAACATTTGGTTGCTTTTTAGTTTACCCCTCTTTTTTGAGAAAATAAAATAAATAAATAAAATAAATATATATATATATATAATTTCCAAACGATATTGCAGAAAGCTTGAGAGACTGTACAGAAGAACTTTGTCAAGTGTGCACCGTGAAAGTTGGGTTGGTTCATTGAAAGCAAAATATAAATTATATTCAGATAAACGCACTGGGTATTGGAACAATTTGATCAGAACTTGTAGCAGCCAGAGGGACAGGTGGCAAATTATTAATAAAATTCTATGCAATAATCGAAGTGATAACTTATCGGATGCAAATGTCAGTCATACAGCTTGTGATTTTATGAAATTTTTTACAGATAAAGTTGTTTATTTTGTTAAGTCATTTGGTGTTTCGACTTCGTTATCAGAAGATAGGCAATCACCAACCGCTGCGTTTGAATCATTTCCTGAAATCACTGAGAATGATTTCGTGAAGATTATACTTGATTCTCCGTCTAAAACGTGTTCACTTGATATCATGCCAACACACATTTTTTAAAAGTATCTAAAGTACTTTTTAAGTTTTTTAACAAGTTTTATAAATCTTTGCTTGCGGAAAGGCATAGTTCCAGAATGTTTCAAGCATGCCACAGTTATTCCGATTCTAAAAAAAAGTAGGTTGTGATGATGGGGAGATTGGAAACTACAGATCAATTTCTAATTTGCCATTTGTCTCAAAAGTAATGGAGCGTGTTGTCATGAAGTTTCTACTGAACCGCTCGACTAATAATAATCTTATGCCAAAATATCAGTCTGGATATCGTCAGTTCCATTCCACTGAAACAGCTTTGTTGTATGTTTTAACAAGTTTGTTTGCTGCAACTGAAGTTCAAAACATATCGGTAATATCATTCTTTGATATGTCATCAGCATTCGATTGTGTGGATCATGAAATACTTTTAAAGAGATTGCAGTGCAGTTATGGTGTTTTTGGAGTTGCCCAAGACTGGTTCAGGTCATATCTTAAGAATCGTACACAACGGATTGAATTTAAAAACACAGTGTCAAATGTATCATTGGTCTCATCATGGGTGCCTAAAGGATCTGTGCTGGGACCCATCCTGTTTCTGCTTTATACATAGGATATAATAAAAATAATTAGTTCCCACGGATTCGTTTGTCATGCTTTTGCGGATGACATCCAGGTGCTGATCACCAGTTCTCCAGATTCATTTGCAGACGAAGTGAACAGATTCAGCAGATGTATGTCAGATGTTGGCCGTTGGATGTCAGTTAATTCATTAAAGTTAAATCAATGTAAGACTCAGTTCCTCCCGGTTGGGACATGGCAACAGTTATCAAGGATGAATATCACTTCAATCAAAGTGGGAGATGTAAATATATTTTTCAGTAAAACAGCTTCTAATTTGGAGGTGTTGCTGGATGATAGACTGTCCATGAAAGACCACATCAAGATGATTTCAGTTTCCAGCATTCCTCAGCTAAGAAATTTATACCGAGTTAGACATTGGAAAATCTGGTCCATGCGTTTGTATCATCACGGCTGGACTACTGCAACAGTCTATTTTATAACTTGCCTTATAGATCAATTGCCATTCTTTAGTCGGTTCAAAAGAGAGCTGCAAAACTTGTAACTGGAAAATTGAAATTTGATCATGTAACGCCAATATTGAATGAACTTCACTGGTTGAAAATAAGGAAAAGAATAATTTTTAAAATTGCAGTGACTGTGTTCAAATCCATGAATGGAATGTCACCGGCTTACATCTCAGATAAATTTTCCAAGAAGGCATCTGCACATGTTTTCATCTGAGATCAGATAATATGAATCTTTTGGCGGTTCCAGCTAGGCATCTACAAATATGTGCAAGAGATATTGCGGTTGCGGGTCCGACGGTTTGGATAAAACCTACCGATTTCATTAAGAAGACCTGGAATTAATTTTGTGACATTTAAAAAAAATTAAAAACATATTTATTTTCTGTTGATAATCATTAAATTTGAATATTTTAATTTATGTTGATCACGCACAGATATTTTGTTTGTTTCACTTTTTGATGGCGCCTTTGAAGTATTTATTTTGCGCTATATAAATATTTTTAAATAAATTTATATATATAATATATGCTGGTAATAAACATTAATTAAATCAGAAATTTAAGAAAAATTTGGAAGATTTTCTATATTATATATATACAAATATATATGTGACAAGCCCAAGTATTTTAGGCGTTTTGCTTCACATCAAATACCACACACACACACACACACACACACACACGCACGTACACACACACTTAACACACAACCACCACTTTTACAGACATACACCCACGCACAAGCGCACGCACACACACACACACACACACACATATATGTTAAAATCAAATCAGCGATGAGTGACACTAAACAGTCAAACATCTGAATAAAACCAATTAATAATTGATATCTCGTTATTCGCTCACGTCGGCGTTTAATTGAACATTTTCGGTAACACAGACGCGCAAGAACCTTTGCAGCAAACAAGAGATATGATTCATGGCAAAAAATAGCTCTCTGCTGTCGCCGGACCTGTCACTCATCATTTTGCAAATATTTTTAAAAAATTTGGAAGTGTTGTTGTCCATCGGCCCAAAAACCTCGATGCAAACAGATAAAAATCCATTGAGGGCAGGGCACCATCATATTTTTTAATCTTTTCATCCGATGCCCTGGTTGCGGCCAAACCACTTTCCTTGCTGATTAAGTGCACGTACCGTTCCGCTAATGTGCCCGGAACGGTTACGTCCCACGCCAGGCACCTACCGGTTCTCCAAGGATTTAATGTGCAGCCATCCGGGCGTTTTCCATCCAGCGCGAAAATTCCCGAGGGCTCTTTAAGAACGGGTATTGAAGCCTTGGAGAAAAGCCGGCGGATGTAATCATTTAATGCGGAATGGCGCAACTGACGACCTCCACCCAAACGACAAACCAGGCCGTAGTGACTGAATTCGTTAGCCTCCGCACCGCACCTACACAGATAGAGTAGAGAAGCAGTATTTATATATATTTGAGCATCTGGCTATATACACAACGTATCTATTCGAACACCGAAAATGGCATAGGAATACCGAAAAAAGCTTTTTTGTTCTATCATGCATTAAATAAACAAAAATTTTGGTTTTGAGCTCAAGAAACTTGAGAATGATTTACGATCAACAGTTAGAATAGATAAATCGAAAAGTTAAACATGAAGTTAACTAACGCCGCGCCGAACATGCTGTTATTTTCACCAATAATTGCATTTCTGACACTCTTAATCCAATATATATATATATATATATATATATAATATATATATATATATATATATACACATATATATATATATATATATATATATATATGTATATATATATAAATTTTGGTAACAGACTGTTACCAAAATTTACATTAACACGCCAGACTAAATCACGGAATATATATATATAAATATATATATATATATATATTGAGAACTTTTCAATTATATATATATATACATACATACATACACATATTTTTACAATATTCTATAAATTCTACCGAGATGTTTGGC